CATCCCGGACATAAATTGTTTCAATTCCTACCCTCAAAATAACGCTATAGAGCACTGCACATCAGAACAATTAGAAACAAGGACAGTTTTTTCCCAAATGCCATCTCTCTGCTAAACAAATAACTCCCTCAACAATGTTCAACTATTTACAAAGTCTGCACTACTATTACTGTTAAATCTTGTCATCTATTCTTTATCACCCATCCCCTCCCACTTGTGACAGTATGACTGTAACTTTGTCGCTTGTATCCTTACGATCTATATTGACTGTTTCCTAGTATGATTTGTTAAAGTGTTGTAATTTATCATTCGTGATGAATGTATCATTTCTTTTATGTACGCTGAGAGTATTTGCACCAAGACAAATTCCTTGTGTGTCCAATCATACTTGGCCAATAAAGAATTCTGTTCTGTTCTGTTCTGTTCTGTTCTGCTCTGCTCTGCTCTGTTCTATTCTATTCAAAGAATCAGGTCAGATTTCACTATACAAGATAGTCCATAGAATCTCTTGGGCAAATGGTGCAGCCTCTAAAAGCAGACACAGTTCACCCTAAGAATGTGTGGCAAACTAAAAAAATACTTCTTTGGTCTTTTTAGTTGCCAGCAGAAAGGGAGTGGGGGAAAGCAGCGCATTCCTTCAATGCTTCAGATATTGGCTACTTGTCCTTCTGTGCTACACTACTTAAATTTCCTAAGCATTTCTGCATATAACCTTTCTCCACCACATGAATCCACACAATCACTAGTTGAACTCCAGCTGATGAGAAAAGTTCAGAAACTTCCCTCTGGTGGGAAAACATCATTGAGGTACATGTTAATCTTGCTCTTTTCAGATGCTGTAAAATGCACCAAATGTCCAGCAGATCAGCATCCAAACATCAACCGAGATAACTGTATACCTAGGATTGAAACTTTCCTATCCTATCAAGAAAATTTGGGGATTGTCCTAGCTTCCTTTGCCTTGTTCTGCTTTTTGGTAACAGGCTTAATCTTTGGAATCTTCATTAAATTCCGAGAAACTCCCATTGTCAAAGCCAACAATCAGGAACTCTCCTACATCCTCCTCATCTCTCTCCTGCTTTCCTTCTTGACCTCCTTCCTATTCATTGGCCGACCAAGGAGAGCCACTTGCCTTCTTCGACAAGCAGCCTTCAGCAACATCTTCTCAGTTGCCATTTCTACTATCTTGGCAAAAACAGTCATAGTGGTGTTAGCATTCTTGGCCACAAAACCAGGAAATAAAGTACAGAGATGGCTGGGGAAAAGCCTCACCAATTCTATGATCCTTTCATTTTCTGTTGTTCAACTTGTCCTCTGCAGCATCTGGCTGGGCACTTCTCCCCCATTCCCTGAGTTGGACATGGACTCGCTATCTGCAGAGATGATTATGCAATGTAATGAAGGCTCTATTGCCATGTTCTACCTTACCCTTGCCTACATGGGCTTCTTATCTGTCATTTGCTTCACAGTGGCTTTCCTGGCCAGGAATTTACCTGGGGCCTTCAATGAAGCCAAGCTGATCACCTTCAGCATGCTGGTCTTTTGTAGCGTCTGGATATCCTTCGTACCTACCTACCTGAGCACCAAGGGGAAGTATATGGTGGCTGTGCAGGTCTTCTCCACCTTGTCTTCCAGTGCTGGTCTTGTTGGTTGCATCTTCATCCCCAAGTGCTATATTATTTTTTTTAGACCAGATCTGAATATAAAAGAACATTTGTTGTCAAAATAAAATAGAAATTTACTTTTGGTGTGTCTTTCCTCATAATGCCAGGTACTTGCTCCTTTATTGTTCCTAAAAAAAACATATGCCACATGCTTCTTTGAGCTCACCATATGAGGCCATGTGGACTGTTTGACTCCTTTTCAGAAGGCCAGATGAGTGGAGACCTGCCTTACCTCTAGGGGAGAATATTCCACAGGATAACATCCCTGCCTGACCAGGTGGGATGGGCCAATCTAATGGGATGAAGATGATACTGTACATAGCCTGGTACAGCTTTAGGTCACAACCAAAACATTGAATTGGACCTGGAAGCAAACTGGCACCCCATCCAGTTCATGGAGCAAAGGTGTTACTCACACTCTTCTTTGGGTGCACAAAATCGTTCACATGGCCATATTCTATACCAACTGAAGCATCTGGATACTTTTCAAGGGCAGCCCCAACTAAGTGTATTACAATAATCCAAACAGGAATAACCAAGGCAGATTTCTAAATTTATGTGGAAGGAGGAAAAAAAACCAAAAATTAAGTACACACTGTTGCAAGACAATAAAGAAAAAGGAGATTTTGGTTTACCAGATTTAAAACTGTATGCTGAGACATGTTGTTTGGTTCAGATGAAAGGGTGAGAAATCACCAAGAATAAAAGGTTGTTAAACTTGGAGGGCCATGAATTGAGCTTTGGATGGCAGACCTATCAATGGTATTACAGAATAACAGAAAGGACCTTGGAAGTCTTCTAGTCTAACCCTCCTGTGCAAGCAGGAAACCTTATACCATTTCAGTTGTCCAATCTTTTCTTTAAAACCTAAAGTGTTGGAGCATTCACAACTTCTTGAGGCAAGTTGTTCCACTGATTAATGTTCTCACTGTCAGGAAATTTCTCCTTAGACCTCTAAGCCACAAAACTTTCACCCCCTCATCTTTGGAAGTGTAGTATCACATCATGGTGGTAAACATGGACCAGGTAGTTGTGGGGCAGAGGTGGTATTCAGCAGGTTCTGACCACTTCTGGAGAATCAGTAGCAGAATTCTTTTTTTATTTTTTTTATTATAATAAAAGTTTTTTTTATTTTTTACACATCTTTTCACATGAGTAACATGATTCCAGATTACAACATTTATACACAGTCATAATTACATTTTCAGTTTTCTTATTTAATATCACATCAAATCATTATTCATTCCACTAATCTTTAGTTAAGTTTCCATTTCATATTCCAATTCATTAATTCAGTATCAAAATCATTTCATCCTCACATATATTTTCAATTCTTTATCCCCTATTATTTCCATTTTCAGCTTGCCACCTATTTTATTTTACATTGTACATTATTATCTTCATTAACTTTCTCAAGACCGATATATAGTAAACAATCAAAAAAGAATAAATATAAAGTAAAAAGAATATATTTAGGATCCATGTGGTATATCCTCCAATCTACAATATATTTTATATTTATTCCAGAGATGTTCATATAACGGTAGCAGAATTTTTGAATAGCTTTGAGAACCAGCAAATCCCACCTCTGACTGGCCCCACCCCCATCTATTCTCTGCTTCCCGAGTCCCAGCTGATCGGCTGGGTCTTCTTTTGTTGACCTGCCCAGGAGAACGGAGCTGGAAAGCAGGTTAGTGGGGTGGGGTGGGGAGGGAATGGGGATTTTGCAGGAACTTCCCCTGCCATGCCCACCAAACCACGCCCACCAAGCCATGCCCGCAGAACCAGTAGTAAAAAAAATTGAATCCCACCACTGCAATGGGGATAGACGTAACAGTGCTAAGAGTCAGCAACATCAATCAAGCTGAATAGAGCTGGAAGGGACCTTGGAGGTCTTCTAGTCCAAGCCCCTGCTCAAGCAGGAAACCTTACACCATTTCAGAAAGATGGTTGTCCAGTCTCTTTTTAAAGACTCCTCAGTGATGAAACATGCACAATTTCTGAAGGCAAGCTGTTCCACTCCTTAATTGTCCTCCATTCTTAAACATCCTTAGGAAGTTTCTCGTTCTGCCTTAACTGAATCAGGTAAAAGAAGCATGAAAAACTGGAGAAGTACCAGGACCTGAAGGAGGAACAGAAGAGGATGTAAAAGTCGAAGTGGTCCAGTGGTAGTAGAAGCACAGTGTCAGGATTCCATGTAACAGACCCAACACAATTTAAACTCTGAGTCCTGGAGTTTCTTCAAGGTATGAATTTATTAGGTATGTCATATTGGCACAGATAGTGAAAACCTGACTCTGAAGGACCTGAGGTTTTCCCCACCCAAATCAAAACCCAAAGTTCTTGCCCCCAGTCCACTTCCATCACATGATCCAATCAGGTCACAGTCCCAACTTCAGTTGGCTTCAGTCCATGCATTCCCAGCACTTGGTGATAATGTCCTTTGTTCCCAGGAGTTTATTTTGGCTACACATCCCCAGCTACCTCTATCTCCCCGCTCCCATTCCCACAACTGCAATCGGCCTTGCTGTGGCAGCCCTGCAGATGCTCCAATATGGCTTCAGGGCTGACAAGAGGTGGTATTTGTTGTGGTCCATCAGCAGCCTATGGAGACAGCAGCAGAGTCGGACAGTGGGGAGGAACATGGGCCAGTCCGGGAGTCTGGGAAGGACTCGGACAAGGGTCTGATACAGAGATGGGGCCTGGGCCATCTGGGAGTTATGTGCTGACTCCGGAGCCTATATAATCTGACAGCAGCAAGGCAGAGGAACAGCGGGAGCCTGTTCCCAGTGCGCACTTGCACAGAGCTGCCAGAAGGCAAGAACAGTTAAGACAGAAGGGGTGACTTGGGAGTAAGGCTTGAAGGAGATTGGCCCTCCCATAAGACATAAAGGAGGAGCAAAAGGACAGGAATCTTTGCAGGAAGCAACTTTGTTCATACTGGTCAGTTTGAAACCTGAAGCTCGGTGTTGAATTTGTGTTCCGTTTTGGCCTCATATAACCAATTGAACATTTAGTTGTTGGCAGCATTTCAAGAAAGATAAAGGTGTGTGCTTATCAGACTCATCCTGAAGGACTTTGGCAGACTTCCATGGAAATATTTACAAACTGTTTCAGACTCATTATGGGCTGTGAATGATTGAAATTCACAGCCATTGAAATAAAGAAAAATGGGTTTTGGTACTAACACGTGTTTGTTAGTGTCTCCATAAGCCTTGGTCAGAATAGTATTCAGCCAGTTCTGACCAGTTCTGGAAAACCAGTAGCAGAAATTTTGAGTAGTTCAGAGAACTGGTAAATACCACCTCTGGCTGGCCCTACCCCCATCTATTCTCTGCCTCCCAAGTCCAAGCTGATCGGAGTCCAAGCTGATTGGCTGGGTATTCTTTTGTTGCCCTGCATAGGAGAACAGAGCTGGAAAGCAGGTTAGTGGGGATTTTACAAAATTCTTCTCCTGCCATGCCCACTAAGCCACACCCTACAAGCCACATCCACAGAGCCGGTAGTAAAAAAAATTGAACACCACCAGTAGTGTAGGGTGTCCTGCTTGGGCAGGGAGTTGGACTAGATAACCTACAAGGTCCCTTCCAACTCTGTTAATCTGTAGTCTGTAATCAGAATAATGGAAACAATTGGCACTGTGAGCAAGATTCTAACAAAATGATAGTGTTTTATTTAATGTTTTTCCCTCTGCTCTCTGGGGAATTTTTTTCAACTCTCAACATAAACAACAAATTAAGGAACAACGCAAAGAAATTGCATGCAGAGAAAGGCCAGAGGCATAAATCCCTCCCAGATGCCCCTGAGACCTTGGGAGGAGTTTTACAGGTGGGGAGGGGTTGCATCCATGATCTTATCCTCATCCAAGGTTTAACTGAGTTTCATCTCTCTTAGACAAGGGAACAAAACCTCGGTCTTGGAAAAGGTAGGTGCCTTCTATTGCCATAATTAGGGCATCCATTGGAACCCTGACAGCCTGATCATTTTGATTAGAGTTTCCATAGAACAAAAGCAGGCAGACTTCCAGGTCCAGCAAAGATGATACTCCTGCTTCTCTTCCTGATGCAGCTGCCCTTAGCGGCCTATAAGATGATGAAAGTCAAATGTCTCTTGACTTTGGAGAGGGATGGAGCAGATCCATGGAATCATTACAGGCCAGGAGACCATCTCATTGGGGGGTTCATTTCTGCAACCTTTGCTCCATTTATACCCTGTAGGTTCAGCCAGGCTCCCAAAACTGACGTTACCATGTAAGTCCCTCTGGCTGTGAAAGAGTTCATAGCACAGAACATTCTGTAAGGATTCCTCAAGGGCTTGAGCCCTTTTCTTGGGGTTTTATCAGTGGTGCAATTCAACCAGTGTAACAACTGGTTTGGTGAGCGCATACTTCACCTGAACCAGTCCAAACCGGTAGAATCCCATCACTGGCCTTTCTACCTATTTCTGTCCTGGTCAGACTTCAAAGGGTTCAGGAATACAGCAACTGACAAAATAAAGATAGGAGTTTCACACATCTGGGGAGAATGGCAGGGTCTTCTGTTGAGTGATTCTATTGAACTCCGGCCTTGGAAAGACCTGAGCATCCCTTCTGTGGAAGAGTTCCAGAAAAGCTGATGGTGCGACTATCATTTTATACTTTTGATCTGACCTTGAGAATGAGATTGATTCTGTGACTGCATTTTCCCTTTTAAATCTTATACTATCTTGGTCTCCATGGAGGCAGATCAAAGGTACCTCAGAATAACAGAGTTCAATTTTATGCCTAATTGTATCCATGCTCTTCTCTAGATCTTAAAAAAGAAGATCTCTTCTTCTAAAATTATCTTCAAATCTCCTCCAAATCAATTAACAATGTAATATATTTCAGGAAAGGATCCATGATGTATTGGAAGCTCCTGTCTTTCCAGATTGCCATCCAAGAGGTCAACCACAATCACCTCCTCTTACCCAACATCACCCTGGGCTATACCATCCATGACAATTATTTCGATCCAAGAATGACTTCAGATGTTTTACTGGATCTCCTGTCAGCTGGGGAGGCCAACATCCCAAATTACAGCTGCAGAAAGACAAAAAGTACATTGGCTGTTCTCGAAGGGATGGACTCTGAATACTCAACTCAGATTGCAACCATGTTGGGCACCTACAAAATCCCACAAGTATGTTTCTTTGCAGTTAGTTGCTGATAAAATTCTGTTCAAAGGTTGTTGGAGTTTTGTTTTCTTTTTGCATAGATTTTCAAAGGAAAAATTATTCCCCCTGTGGAAATAAGAGGGAATAGTGGGATTATGGAAGAATCAAGAGTGACACTATGGTCCAGGCTAATAAAGCAATCTCAAAACATATATATATAGCAGAGATCCAGTCCAGATTAGGGTCTACAATGGGCTGGAGGAAAACCCTTTCCTTGATGGGACCAGTCAGGGGAGATGAGCAGAGTCTTCAACAATCCCTCCAATGGATCTTCTTGGCAGTAAGAATCAAAGAGTCACAGAGTTGGAGGATTCAAAAGATTGGGGGGGGGCATTATGTAGTCCACTGCAGGAATCCAGTATCCCCTACACAATCATCCAGGCTCTCTTGAAACATCTCTAGCAAAGGACTCAACCACCTTCTGAGGTGGCCTTTTCCACAGTTGGACAGCTCCTACACTCGGACATCCAGCTGAAATCTCCTCCCTTGTAAGCTTCTTGTTTTGTCTTCCCCACTGAATCTGAACAATTCTGTCCTGTCTTTCATGCACAGCCCTTAACGCAATGGTACATACACCTCCAACTGTTTCCAACTTCTCATCATCTTGATTTGCTCTCTTCTTGTTTGTCAATGTCCTTCCAAAAATTTAGTGTCCAATATTCAGCTACCATCTGAGACAGAATGAAAGGGAACCATACTTTCTGTTGACTTTGGCACTACATGTCCATTGATGCCACACAGGACCACAATAGAATTTTCTCTGTACACTAGAATCACACTTTTGGCTCATGTTCATTTTGTGAGCCAAGATTTCTTTTCATATGCTTTCTTGTCCAGTAAGTAATGGGGAGGGGGAGGGCAAACAACCTATATTCATGTCTTTAATTTTTTTTTCTACTCAAACATAGGACATCATACAATCATTATCGTTGTTACACTAATTTTTAGGTCACACCCAGTGATGGGATTCAGCCAGTTCATACCACTTCAGGAGAACCGGTTGTTAACTTTCTGAGCCATATGGAGAACTGGTTGTTGAAAGATATCATTAGGGTGGCGAACTGGTTGTTAAATTTTTTGAATCCCACTACTGGTCGCACATAGTTTGATAGTCAGTTCTTGCAACATAAAATGAGTCTCTTTATTTTCTTTTCAGGTCAGCTATGCTTTTGCTTCACCATCACTCAGTGATAAGACCTATTTTCCTTTTTTCTATGAGTCAGTCCCCAAAGAAGGGGCCCAGTACCTGGGAATTATCACATTGCTTCAGTATTTCAAATGGACATTGATCGGTCTTGTTGTTGCTGACACCAACAATGGAGAGCAGTTCATCAGAACGTTTGAGCCAGTGCTCACCCAGAATAATATCTGTGTTGTTTTCTCCCAAACAATCTCACTAGATCCCCAAAAAATGAAGCTTAATTTCATAGGTTTCCATCAGTGGAGCCAAGTCAATGTATACCTCTATTATGCCAAAGCTCTATCCTTCAAAGAGGGGATATATATTATACAACATATTCTTGGATCCCTGACAAAGCCCAGTGTCGGAAAAGTTTGGGTCACAACTGTTTTGTGGGACCTCACTTATGAGATGACGTATTCTCCCCTAACTTTCAAATACACTCATAGCATTTTTTCCTTTCTCATCCAAACTGAGAAAAGAACAACATACGACAGTTTTGAAAAGTTTTATATGTCAATCCAGAGATTTGCAGACAATGCTTTTCTGTGTTCATATGCAAAGCATCCTTTGGCTGTGAAAGGCTGGACCAGATGCCAAGAGAAGGAGAACGTGGAAATGCTGCCCCAAAGAATGGTTGAAAGAACCTTGACTTTAGACACTTACAACATCTACAGTGCTGTGTGGAATGTGGCAACCTCCATAAATGATGTGTATTCATCCTTCTCCAAGAGAAGCATGGCGTTGCACAACAAGAGGTTGGACACTGAAAAGCTGAAGCCATGGCAGGTATTTCTTTTTCCCAAACACAGACAACTCCACCTCTGTTCCCCCAATCTTCCCATACTTTGAGCACATACTGTGCCATACAGGGACCTCCACAGGTTACTGCGGGGTTTTGGTTGCATTCTAAGTGTTGATTGTCGTTTTTTTTGGAAATGTTTGAGTTGGAAGTCCTTGAGGCTGTCTTTTCCCTAGAACTTCTGCTTGCCCAATTTGGTTCTCCAGGTTCTCTCTCTCTCTCTTCATGCATAGTTCTCAGAGGTGGTGCCTCTCAATCACAAACCCCTCTCCCTCTTTGGAACAGCATCTCACCAAAGGTTGATCCTGCATTGATATTACAAGGATGCATGAAAACAACTCAGAATTTAGTGGAGGAGATATACTGACAGAGGTTCTTCCCTTGAATGAGTTTATTTAAGTTTTATGGTTCCTCAACATATTACTGTATTGAATTTGTGGGTGTAATATCTGTTTTAACCTGGCCATATTTTAATTGATTTAATCCTATTTATACAGGGTAGAATTCTAAGACATTTAGTCAATGACTGAATCCACTTTTAAGCCTAGGAAAATAAAAGTTAGATAAACGATAGATGAGAGAGAGAGGTGATATAGATAAATTAGATAGATAGATAGATAGATAGATAGATAGATAGATAGATAGATAGATAGATATAGATGATAGATATAGATGATAGGAAGATAGAAAAATAGATGGTATATAATGAAGATAGATGTGTGTGAGGAGATAAGAGATAGATGACAGAGAGAAATATAAGATAGATGGAGGAGAGAAAAAGGAGAGAGAGATGATATATATAGAAAAGATAGAAAGATAGATAATAGATAATAAAGATAGATGCGTGAGAGAGATGAGAGAGAGATGAGAGTTAAGAGATAGATGAGAGAGAAAAATATAAGATAGATGAGGGGGAGAGAAAGGAGAGAGATGATATATATAGAAAAGATAGATAGAAAGATAGATGATAGCTAATAAAAATAGATGTGCGAGAGAGAGATAAGAGATGAGAGATAAGATAGATGAGAGAGAGAAACATAAGATAGATGAGGGAGAGAGAAAGGAGAGAGAGAGAGATGTTATACAAAGAAAAGATAGAAAGATAGATAATAGATAATAAAGAGAGATGTGTGTGAGAGAGATGAGAGATAAGAGATAGATGAGAGAAAGAAACATAAGATAGATGAGGGAGAGAAAAAGGAGAGAGAGATGATATATAGAGAAGAGACAAATAATAGATAATAAAGATAGATGTGTGTGAGATATAAGAGATGAAAGAGAGATGAGAGATAAGAGAGAGATGAGAGAGAGAAACATAATATAGATGAGGGGGAGAGAAAGATAAGATAGATGAGAAAGGAGAGAGAGAGAGATTGGGTAGGAGGGACAGAGTGAAATTCTAACAACACAATGATTTAGTAGGTCTTTAAATATATTATAGCTTTCTTTCTCTTCTTCTTCACTGTTCTTCTGTGAAGCAGGGAAGTGCTATATCTTAATTCTAACCCAGAAGTTGTCTCCTGCAAGTTCATTAGTCTGAGAATGAACTATTTTGAACCATGTTGAAATAACTTTTTCTTTTGCTGTTTGCTTTCTCCTTCAAGCTTCACCCTTTTCTCCAAGCCACCCAGTTTTACAACTCTTCCCCGAACCTAGTGTATGTGGATGAGAATGGAGAACTGGCAGCTGATTTTGACCTTGTGGACTGGCTGAAGTTTCCTAATTGTTCAGTTGTCAGTATAAAATTTGGGGGTCTCTCCAGACAGGAGTCCCAGGAGCCCAAATTCATCATCAACCAACAGGCCATTGTGTGGCCCAAATGGCTCAATCAGGTAAAGCAGTTCACTGATTACATTTCCTAAATTCTCTCTTAATTCTCAGGCAGTTCTTTCCTTCCTCCAAAATCCAGCTTTACATGAGACATACTGCCTTCAGCTATAGGCTTGAGTCAGAGGTGGTATTTAGCCGGTTCTGACCAGTTCTGCAGAACCGGTAACGGAAATGTTGAGTAGTTTGTAGAACCGGCCAATCCCACCTCTGACTGGCCCCGCCCCCATCTATTCTCCACCTCCCATTGAGTCCCAGCTGATTGGCTGGGTCTCCTTTGGTTGCCCTGCACAGGAGAATGAAGCTGGAAAGCAGGTCAGTGGGATGGGGAGGGAAGGGGAATTTTGCAATATATCCACCCCTTCCACTCCCACCAAGCCACATCTGCCAAGCCACGCCCACAGAACCGGTAGTAAAAAACTTGGAATCCCACTACTAGTTTGAGTCCAATACTTCATTGTTTTTTTACAAGTCCACCAAAGACAAAAAGTACCTTCTTTAGAATTATATTTCCAATATACATTTGAAAGACTGTTATACTTCTTTGACAGTTTTTTAGGTGTTAAGTGCCAATGATACATCATTTGGTAAACATTTTCTTTCAAACATAATTCAATATAAATTTCAGACTATATTTTCCCACTGCTCAAGTATAATATTGTATCCAAGGTCCTTGCCTACTGAATCATACACTGTTTGACATGTTCATTTTCCAAATTCAATTGCAATAACATTTTATAAATAGCAATAATATGTTGTTAGCACACATTACAATTTCATATATCTATATCTATATCTATATCTATATCTATATCTACATCTACATCTACATCTATCTATATCTATCTATCGATCTATCTATCTATGCATGTATATATATGGTATTCAGCTTTGTTCAGGTATTTTCCCACGTTATTATAGTTGTGCTTTTAAAGTTGTAGCGACGTTTTGGCAGAATCTCATCTGCCATCATCAGGCTTCTGTATTGTGTTCGTCTGTGAGTCAGATTTTCACAGCCATTTCTGTTTTAAATTTGGTGCTAGCCTACTGCTGTTCCAGAATGGTTTTTTCTTCATCCTGATTGGTTGGGAGTCTTGGTCTGTGTTTATTGGTCTTGGAGTTTACTGTGTTCTGCTTGATTGGTGTTCTTAATATCTTCTGTCTATTTTGTAGCATTGTTGTTTTTTTGATTTGATTGGCTGGCAACATTGTGTTACCTGTATTGGAGGCTTTTAGTGCAGCTTGGCTTCGGGTAAATGGATGGCTATCTTTTATTAGGAAGCTAGGTTTCATCTGGTTGTCTGGTTGGGGTGTGTATGAGCTGGAGGTATCAGGAGGGTTTGTTTGTGCCCAGATGTTTGCCTGGCTTGTGGTGTGGATATTTTTTTTGTTTGCGAGTGCAGGCTTCCAGACCTACTCCACGACTCCACATACAAACCCATAAACATGGACCCAACCACATATCTGGAAAAAATAACCAAGAAGAAAATAATAACCAGCAACATGAGCAAAGAGATCCAACAGACGATCATCCCAAGAGAAATATCTTCCAGATGCCCCAAACTATATAGCCTCCCAAAAATACACAAAGAAGGCATATCTCTCAGACCCATAGTCAGCTCCAGAGGAGCACCACTACAAAACCTAGCCAAATACCTAGCAAAGCAGCTACAGCCCCATGCTGAAGCAGCAGCTTCACATGTACAAAACTCATACCACCTCTTGGAAATGATCAAAGATCTACACATGGAACAAAAAGATCTGCTTGTAAGTTTTGACATAGTTTCAATATTCACTCAAGTTCTGATAAAAGAAACCCTACAAATCATCAAAAGTAAGTACCAACCACCCAAACACCTCATGGAACTAACAGAACACTGCTTAACCAACACATATTTCATATACAAAGGACAAAGATACAAGCAAATTGAAGGAGTCCCTATCGGATCACCACTGTTACCTGTCATTGCAAACCTGTTCATGGAAGAATTTGAATCCAGAGCCCTAGTCAATGCCACCCACAAACCCAAATTATGGTTAAGATACATTGATGACACATTTGATATTTGGCACCATGGAAAAGAAAACCTAAACAATTTCCTAACATACCTAAACAGCACAAACCTCAAAATCAAATTCACCATGGAAATGGAAACAAACAAACAACTACCATTCCTAGATGTACTAAACTACAAAAAAACAAATGGCACACTAGGACACACCATATACCAGAAGAAAACACACACCAACTGCTACCTCAATGCCCAATCCCACCACCCCACAGCACAGATAAACTCTGTGGCCAAAACACTAATTGCCAGAACCAAACGCCTGGCAGACAAGACACACATAAAGAGTGAACTATGCACCCTGACTAAAGTACTGACAGCCAACAGCTGTCAAAAGCAAAATCACAGGCCTGATCCACAAAAACACATTGAAACATAATGGAAACCTAGAAGATAAACAGACCTATGGAACAGCTCTCCTACCCTACATAAGAAGTACTACCGACAAAATCAGTAAGATACTACACAGACATCACATCAAGACTGCCTTCAAAACAGACAGAAAAATAGCAGCCATCCTAAGAAACCCCAAAGATAAATTTGACCTGGAAAACCAAGGCATATATGAAGTCCCCTGCGCATCATGCCCTGCCACATACATTGGACAGACCATTAGAAGAATAAGTACCCGCCTGGATGAACACAAAAATGCAGTCAAAAAGCTGGAACACACTTCCTCACTAGTCCAACACGTGAAAGCCACCGGTCATAGCATCGACTTCAGTGGCACCAAAATCCTAGTTGCTATAGAAAACCTCAGCTACAGAATTATCAGAGAAGCCATAGACATTGAAAAAAAGATCTGAAAGCATGAATAGAAGAGATGATTCCACCAGACTGTCAATTATTTGGAAGCCTGCACTCACATCAAAAAAATCTTCACACCACAAGCCAGGCAAACATGTGGGCACAAACAGATCCCCCCTGATACCTACAGCTCAAACACACCCCAACTAGGCACCCAGATGAAACCTAGCTTCCTAATAAATGATAGCCGTCCATTTACTCAGAGCCAAGCTGCACTAAAAGCCTCCAATACAGGAAATACAATGTTGCCAGCCAATCAAGACAAAAAAAAAAGCCACAAAACAGACAGAAGATATTAGAAACACCAATCAAGCAGAACACAGCAAACTCCAAGACCAATAAACACAGACCAAGACTCTCGACCAATCAGGATTAAGAAAAAACCATTCCGGCACAGCAGTAGGCTAGCACCAAATTTAAAACAGAAACAGCTGTGAAAGTCTGACTCACAGACGAACACAAAACAGAAGCCTGATGATGGCAGATGAGATTCTGCCAAAACATTGCTACAGCTTTAAAAGCACTGCTAGTAGGGGTGTGACTTCATTGGGTGGGGGGGGTTGGTCGTGTTCTGATTGGCTGGAGGCATGTTCTGTTCAGGTGGGGGCTTGGTTGTGCTCAGGTTAGTCTTAGTTGCTGGGGGATTTGAGCTGATGAGGTGTGATCCTGCTGTTTGGCTTCGAGTTCGTGGTCGTGCCGCATCTTCATGGTGGGTGTCAGTTCGCTTCATGTATGGCTCAGGGGGGTTTGAAGTGGGTAGTGATGCAGCTGCAGTGCAGCTTCTGGTCCGTGGTCGTGTCTCATCTTCTGTGTGGGTGTGAGTCTGCTTTCTACGTGGAAGTGTGGTGGTGGCATCTTGTGTGGCCCTCATGGGTGTGGGTCTGGTATCAGTCTTCATGTTAGGTACTCGTCTGTTCATGAGGGCAGGTTTCCAAATGGCTGGTAGGCGGGAGGTGTCATCTCGTTTATTCATGCTGTGTGGACATTTTTCTATCTCTATGGCTTCTCTGATTATTCTGTTGTTGAAGTGTTCGGTTTTGGTGATAGTTCTGGTATTTTTAAAGTCAATCTCATGTCCTGTGGCTTTGAGGTGTTGGACCAAGGAAGAGGTCGGTTCTTCTTTTTTGATTGAGTTCTTATGTTCTTCAATGCGTGCACTTATTCTTCACATATATATTTATACACATCTATAAAACAAATTCAAACCCGTAGTATTTTCTTGAATTAAATCTTTCCTTAAGTTCTAGGTATGCGAGTCAATGGCAAATATGCCCCTCTGATTACAATTCTTCTTTTGACTTGGGATTAGGTTCATGTTTTGGATGTTATTTCTTTTCTTCTCACTGCTCAGCCCCTGCCTCCTTCCAGATGTGTAGAAAGCTGCCCTCCTGGATTTATGAAGGTGGCTCAGGAAGGGAAGCCCATCTGCTGTTATGACTGTCATATTTGTGCAGAAGGAACCATCTCCACCAAGGAAGGTAGATGAGTGACTCCAAGAAAATATTTTTCTTAAGCTGAATCTTTTCTTCTCTTGTTTGCCTGAATATCCTCAATCAAATTCACCAGGATTATCTGGGGGAGTAATAGAGCCTTAGATTAAATATATATGTGTAAATATATGTGTCCCAGGATGATGTTGCAGGATCCAATCTGACTCAGTCACTAGCATAACAGGTTTTGTTTTTTTTCAAGCTGTTCTATGTGTTATACCTGATCAGCCAGTGGTAAATAGTAGTAACTGTGAGAGGGATCTCGGAGTAGACAACCATTTAAATATGAGCCAGCTGTGTGCAGCAGCTGCCAAAAAAGCCAACATAGTTCTAGGCTGCATAAACAGAGGGATAGAATCAAGATCATGTGAAGTGTTAATACTTGTGATGACCCAGGGTGGATACAAAACAAACACAGTCACAGAAAACAAGTGAAGCCCCTTTTATTCCTTCACTTTGCTTCAAGCTCCAAATATCTTTGATGGAAGACAAAAAAACTCCCACACAGTTACACGAAGCAGGAAAAAAGTAACACAAACTAGGCAAGATAAGGACTGGAGGATGTCCACACTGGGAAGGATGTCAAACTCAGAGAGGAACTATAAACTAGAGATATTTACATGCTTTATTTCCAGAGTTCGCCAGTATGCAGGTCCATACTCTTATTCAGTTGTCACAGCTGCAGCCCATGAAGACGATCAAGGCCCTCTCTTCCCAAGTAGACCACATCTCTCCCTTATCCTCTCCTCCCCGCGTGCCCTAGGATGGATATGGGATGGGCCTGGGTCCCTCTGACTGCTCAGCTGGCCTCTGCTCTTCCCCAGCCTCCTCCACAACCTCCGGAGCCACACTTCCACTCCCTGTCGGCTGTTCCTCCTCTCCCTCAGAGTCAGTCTCCACCAGGGGCATGACACTACCACTTTATAATAAGATTTTTCAATGTAGTGAAATATCTCTCCAAAAAGTCAGATTAATGCACAGTTAGGATGTATCAAGTTGATGAGGGGAAAGTGAGAAGTGGAGAGAAACCAAAAGGAATATATTTTTCCAACTTTCAGGATGAATAAATGTTTTGTAATTAGTCTGACTGTATCAGAAGAGATATGAGACCTGCCATAGACAACCATTGATGGAACATGGCTTCTTCCAATGAATTTCTTCTTTCTATGTCACTTTTTAAAAGAAAGTTCCTCATTCATCACTGAATGTTTACATAAATAGTTCATAGTTTGCTTTTCTGGTTTTGGGGTATCTATATATTTTCACAAAATTCAAAACTACAATGAGATATTGTGAAGCAAGCACTATGGTTAAAACAAGACAGTGTTTCTCTTCTTCCTCTTGATCTTTGCAGATTCAGAACAATGCATTCAATGTCCTGAAGATCAGCATCCCAATAAATATCGAGATCAATGTATCCCTAAAAGGATCAATTTCCTATCTTACAAAGACAATTTGGGAATCATCCTGGCTTCCCTTGCCATGTTTTTGGCCTTAACCACAGGTCTTGTATTGGGAACCTTCATTAAATTTCTAGAAACTCCCCTTGTCAAAGCCAACAATCGGAACCTCTCCTTCATCCTTCTGGTCTCCCTCCTGTGTTCCTTCTTGATTTCTTTCCTGTTCATTGGCCAACCAACCAGAGCCACTTGCCTTCTCCAACAAACAGCTTTCAGCATCATCTTCTCAGTTGCCGTGTCTTCTCTCTTGGCCAAAACAATCACAGTGGTATTGGCCTTCCTGGCCACAAAGCCAGGAAACAGAGCAAGCAGATGGCTGGGCAAGAGTTTGGCCAATTCAATCATCCTTTGTTCTTTCACTCTTCAAGTTATAATTTGTTCCATCTGGTTGGGAGTCTATTCCCCATTTACTAGTTCTGATAAGCATTCTCAACCTGGAGAAATAGTTCTGCAATGCAATGCAGGCTCTGTTGCCATGTTTTATGTTGCCCTCGGGTACATGGGCTTCCTGGCTGCAGTCTGCTTCACAGTGGCTTTCCTGGCCCGGAACCTCCCTGGTGCATTCAATGAAGCCAAGTTGATCACCTTCAGCATGCTGGTCTTCTGCGCTGTTTGGGTGTCATTTGTGCCCACCTACCTGAGCACGAAGGGGAAGTACATGGTGGCTGTGCAGATTTTCTCCATCTTGGCCTCCAGCGCTGGCCTGTTGGGCTGCATCTTCATCCCTAAGTGCTACATCATTCTGCTAAGGCCACATCTGAATACAAAAGAACATCTGATGATTAAATAAATAGGAAAAAATGAACTGTTAGAGGGCTTGGTAAGCTTGAGTAACAGTATTTGTTAATCTAATGGTTATAAGAAAATGAACCAAAAGCCCAGGTCATGATAGAAATATGCTATTTTTGAATAAACACTATTTATCCCTTTGTCTTTCCTTTATATTTAAGTGTGGAGAATCTCTGTGAATGATTGCTTGTAAAGATTCTGATTTCCATGTTCCATGCATATCCATGTTCACTCATGTGCAAGAATTGTGAATAATTATTCTTTTTCTCAAAGAAATAACTTAAAACTACTTGCAGAACTGAAATGGGTGTGGTAATGCAATTCATTCTGAGTAACAGATTTTCCCGGGACTTTTATGGGATTTGGGAGGAGGTACAACTAATAATCAATTAACAG